TCAAGAAGAAGAAGAGTCAAAGAAGAATAATAAAAAAGAAGAAGAATCGAAAAAGAAGAATCCCAAATGAAGAAAAACAAGAATAAAAAAGGAGAGTCCAAGAAGAGGAAACCAAGAAGAAGGAGAAAAAGAGTCAAAGAAGAAGAATCGAAGAATTAGAAGGAAGAGAAGAAGTATAATCCAAGGAGAGAAAAAGAAGAATAAAAAAAAGAGGAAGAATCGAAGACGAATAATCCTCGAAAAAATAGAAGAGTTTTCCAAGGAAAAGCAAGAAGTGTGAAAGAAGACGAATCCAAGAAAAAGAAGAAGCTAGCCATGAATTAGAATTCAAAGGGTCAAAAATGTATCAAAGAAGGAGACGAATCCAAGAAAAACCAAAGAAGAAGAAGTATCAAAGAAGAAGAACGCGAGAAGTATAGTCAATGAACAAGAACCCAAGAAGAAGAATGCAAAAAGAAAAAAGCGTGAAAAGTACAAGAGGAAGAAGCATCCAAGAATAATGCAAGAAGAGTCAAGGAAGAATAACCCAAGAAGAATCTAAAATTAAGAAGATTCAAGGCGGAAGAACCCAAGAAAAAGTAGAAGAAACAAAACAAGGAATCCAAGAAGAAGAAGAGTGAAAAAAGCAGATGATTGCAAGAAGAAGGAACCAAGACGAAATAAGAAGAAGAATCCAAAATATTTATCCAAGATGGAAAAGAAAAATCCAAGAAGAATGCACGAAAATGAAAAGTCAAAGAAGAAAAATCCAAGAAGAAGAATCCAAAAGTATTATCCAAGAAGATGTAAAAGAATAAGAACGCGAACTTAGAAAGAAAGCAGGAAGAAGAGCCAAAGAATAAAAATCCAAGAAGACGAATGAAGAAGAATAATCGAATAAGATGAATGCAAGAACAACAAAAATTCAAGAAGAAGAATTCAAAACGAAGAAGAGGAAGGGTCCCAAGTAGAAGAATCTTAGAAGAAAAATATCACAGAAGAAAAATCCAAGAAGTGACAAAGAAGAACCCAGGAAAACCAAGCAAGAAGAATCCAAGATGAAAAAGTTACAAAAGAAGAGTCCAAGAAGAAAAAGAATCCAAGAAGAATGTGGAAATGTCAAATATTCCAAGAAGAAAAAGATGTAGAACCCAAAAACAAAAATACAAGACGAAGAAAAATCCACGATGAAGAAGATGAAGAATCAAAAGAGAAGACTTTAGGAATGTAGAATCCAAGAATAATTCAAGAAGAAATTGTCAAAGAAGAATCCCAGAAGAAGAAGTGTGAAAAACGAAAGATCCAAGAAGGAGAAGTAGAAAGACAAGTAGTATCCAAAAAGAAAAAGAACAATAATCCAAGAAGAAGAATCCAAGGAGAATAGTCAAAGAAGAAATATCCAAGAAGAAGAATCCAAGATGTTAAATGCAAGAAGCATAAGAAGAATCCAAGAATAAGTAGACACTAAGAAGAACAATTCAAGGAGAAAAGAATCAAAGTGGAATTATCGAAGAAAACGGAAAATGAGAGTCAAAGTCCAAAGAAGAAGAAGAATCTAAGAAGAACAAGTGTCAAAGAAGAAGAATCCAAGAAGAAGTAGAATCCAAAAAAAAGAATACAAGACGAAGAAAAGTCTAAGAAGACTACAAGAACAAGAGTAAAAAAAGAAGACTTCAAGAATGTAGAATAATCCAAGAAAAAGAAAAAGTAAAAGAAGTGGAATCCAGGAAGAAGAATCCAAGAATAAAAAAAAGTGTCAAACAAGAAGAATCGAAGAAGAAGAATTCAGGAAGAAGAATCCAAGAAGTAGAATTCAACAGGAAGAAGAGAATACAAAAAAATGGATGAAATTGTCAAGACCGCGGCAGTGCTCGATTCTACGTAGTGCTTATGAAAATATTGAAGATTTAAGAAGACTTGCTGTCACTCAATACACAGAAACCTGCGGCAAACATCAAATATAAAAGAAAAGATCATAGAAACAATAAAGATAACATTTAACTTTGCGGAGTCGACTTCAAGTTTAGAAGCTTCACTATGGAGCCACGTAAAAGGATAAATTAGTCTTTGCTTCGCCTTCAACTGAATTTAATCCAAGATTTCCTCCGAGGTACGCATTTAAATTAAGACATCTCCCAAGTAAACTTAACTTTGCTTTTAGGACAGCAGCACTCAAGAATAAACCAAAAAAATAGTCTTACACGATTCTCTGATATTATAGCTTAAACGCTGGAACTATTAATAGAAATCTATTTATTTACACATTGCTTCGTGATTTCGATGGGCATAAAGTGTTCTTTCACTTGCCTAAATGTACATTTACTCTTCTGACACAAAATTACATACAAACCGCGAATTCATTAATGAGACTGCATACATTACACTGGCATGAGAGCTTTCAACATAGAAAATACCCAACGTTGCACACACGCCGTTTCATGTAATGAACCGACTCTCCTCTCAAAATGTAACTGAGTGAGCAATATCTGTATTTACTATTAAGAATCTATTTTACATTATTTACATTATTCGGACTATTGTCCTCATCTTTGTTGATCTATTTATCACAACGTTTCGGCCGTTGTACGCCTTGGCTTTCTTCAGATGGTTGGAATGTTGAAATGAACACTTTATTTCGGCCGCTGGGGTAGACTGTTCTAGTCGCACGTGCCACGTCTAATGGATGTCAGCTATCAGTTATCTCCTCTTAATTCACCTCTCCAAGTTCTCAACTACCTTAACCAGGTAATTGACTCACAACCCTTTGGGACCTGTCATTGGGTCTAACCAACGCCTTTATCCACTGTGTCATTAAGGTTAAGGCAGTGGAGAACTTGGAGAGGTGAATTAACAGGAGATAACTGAGAACTGACATCCATTAGACATGGCACGTGGAACTAGAACAGTCTACCCCAGCGAGCGAAATAAACGGTTCAGTTTAACATTCCAACCACCTGAAGAAGGCCAGGGCGTACAACGGCCAAAGCGGTGTGATAAATATGGTAACAAAGATGAGGACAATAGTCTGTATAATATAAATAGTGTACATAATACCTCATCTCAGAAATGCAGATCATACATTTAAGTATGGTCTGTCAACCTGGCACAGGGCTCGCCCCTAGGCTGGTGGTATTACGGCTAGGACTAGCCTGGACCGGCTCCGGCCTGGACCAGCTAGAACAAGCCAAGACCTGCTATGACTAGCTTAGACCAGCTCTGACCAGCTTGGACAAGCTATGATCAGCTAAGACCAGCTTGAACCAGCGGCCCGAGTGAAAACATTCGGGTCCCCACGTTAAAAACTGACCTTGTGTCACAACCTGACTCAGTGGGCGGGGTCAAGTAAATATCAACCTCATCTCAGAAATATAGACAGATCTATATTACATATTTATAAAACTACCATTTGTGCTTCGCATTGAATATTTCAGCCACATCTGGTCTGGGGATCCTGCTATATATTTAGAAATTCTTGATAAATATCCAAAGAAGAATCTGCATTATTTTTGGTCCTGATCTGGCATCTCGACATCAGTCACTTCCTTACCTCCGTAATGTATCTTCCCGTGCTATTTCCATAAATAATTTCATGTAATTATTCGGAGGAATTTTCATCTATAGTACCTAGACTTTATGAATTTAAGCACAATACCAGATTTACAGCACGGTCTTATCATTTGACAATTGAGATGCCTTGATGTACCGAAGGTTCTATGCTAACAGTTTCTTCTATCGCACTTCTCGCTTGTAGAATTCACTTCCGGTTTCTTGCTTCCCTGTCGAATTTCATCTTCAAAAATGTAAATACAATGTCAATCGTTATCTTCTGTCTTTGTAATTCCTTTTCTTTTATTATTCTCTCTCCTTGATAGCATATTTTTTTCATATTCTCTAACTCTCAGTAACGACTTGCCTTTTAGTCGCATTACTGCCTTGCTTCGGGTGAAATGATTAAAAACATAGAGGGAACATGTGAGCAATGAGGAAGTTTTTTTATAAAAATTTTAAGCAACAAGGAAATTTAAAAAAAAATTACGTTTGCCAAAGAGACGCTTGTATTTAGAATCAAAAAGAAATAATTGAAATTTCGTGGGAAAAATACAAAGCACTGTTTTCGGAGATTTCCTATAAATATATATAGATAGCGTTTTAGCCTAGAAAAGGTTACTGAATGAGGAATAACAAAACGGAGGTTGGAAATGTAATGTTAATCTTTATAACATCAATAAAATACAATACTCGCCAGCGACGTGAAGTAGGTAAACCACTGCTAGTGATGAACTACTCAGACAGCATATTAACGCTACTTACAATAATGTCCAACGTATTTATGAGAATTGGGACGTACACATTAGTGTTCATAGGTACGGTATATAATAGATAGATAGATAGATAGATAGATAGATAGATAGATAGATAGATAGATAGATAGATAGATAAAGGGTATATTGAGTGGTTGAGTGAAACAGCAATTAACATATTTAACCAGCTTGTGTAAATGAAAAATAGAAAAAAGAGTACGAAGCGGACAAACACTACTTAGAGCGACAAAGATGATACATTAATGGGACAACAGTAAAAATCTGTCCCGTGAGAACTTCGATAATACAATATGGGGTTGGAGCCCTCTGTCTGATTGGAAATGGTTCTGTAGACACATTAAAGTTATCCCTGTTAACCCCTGCCTTAAACAAATACAAAATGTTATCCTCACAAATACAGCTCACATCTTACGATGGTCTTTTATAAATGTAAAATGTATGAGATCTAAGATTGTTTTATTTTTATTCTTTTTTAGAAAAATTTTCAGTGAAAATGACATGATGCCATTTCTGACCTGAGGTCTCTTCTTAGAAGGCAATAACTAAACAATAGAAATTAAAGGCAATAATAATAATAATAATAATGAAATCTGAAAAATGTGGCACATGGGAACATCAACAACCGCTGTTGTAGTTGAAGCCCGAGGATTAGTTGGAAAAGATTGCAGTAGACTAATTGAAGGGATTCCTGGAAGTCTATGCCTCAAAGAAATACAAAAAAATTGTTCTCACAAGTACAGCCCACACTTTACGAAGGGCTTTATATATATATATATATATATATATATATATATATATATATATATATATATATATATATATATATATTTGTCAGTGGAAAGTGTCATGATGCCATTTCTATTCTTAGGTCTCTGGACGGGACCTGGAAAGAAATATGTACACGCTAGAAATCAAAGGAAATAAAAATAATAATAATAATCTCGGATTTAATTGAGGGAGGAGATGTTAACATTCTCTGCTATTTTTTCTATCACTCAGGTCGTACGATATAAAAGACAGAATTTAAAAAATGCACACTGATTTGACAAAAATGTCTCTGCGAAGGTCCATAGTTCGGCCTACCGTTAGGTTCACACTCCTCCCCAATCTTTTGAACTTCCCAGTTAAGGATTCGGTCTCCGGTTCCTTGAAGACTTTATATTCTCTTTCACTTCCTGTAGGCCTTTGCGTCTTAATAGCATTATCACCATGCTTGTGATGAATTGATTAAAAATAAAAGAATGTCTGTCGGTGAGAAAACATTTCAGCACCCACCTCGCATATACGAAGGACGTTCCGAAAGTAATGCCTCCTATTTATTTCCAAGCCGACTACGACATAAAGGTGGTATGACAAAAGAAAACAGTATTTTCTTTTCACATACGTATCTCCTCTGGCTACATTTTGATCAGCGATGAGGAATCTGCACCAGGAAAAGCGACCCACTGATTTCACATGCACTATTGCCGCCACGACGGAAATACATTATTCATCGTCAAACTGTAACAACAGCTATATATGTGACCACACACACATTCCGAGCAAGGCAGGCGCGATCTTTTATTTTTACTGCTGGTGAATATGACCAACGACAAAGTTAGGTGCCTATAAAGAAATACTGATTGGTGGTAAAAACTTGGTCGCTACAACGGAATGATTGCTTTCCCCGTCTCTATTGCAGCTTTAGCGGGAAAAATAAGAAGCATTATTTTCGGAGCTTTCCTATAAAATAGATAGGTATAAAGGTACAAATATATGTTTAACTAAGGTAGTGAGAGGTACACTGTAAATAGATAGATAGATAGATAGATAGATAGATAGATAGATAGATAGATAGATAATGAAGCAGATGAATATGAACAGACTGATACATAGATAGATAAATAACAACAACTGAGATAAATGGTGAATAAAAAGTCATAGATAGATACAAATAGACTGAGATAGATAGATAGATAGATAGATAGATAGATAGATAGATAGATAGATATGAACAAACCGAGTTAGATAGTAACAAACAGAAATAGATAGATAGATAGATATGCACAAAATGAGTTAGATAAATAGAAACAAACAGATAGATAGATAGATAGATAAAACAGAGCATTTACTTAAATATTTGCATGTATAAAAAGAATGTATAAACATAAAAATGTCTTAAAATAGATAGATAGATAGATATAAATTTATAAGAAGCTGACACAACCAATCCTCTGAAAAACATAACTAAGGTTTAGATGAAAGGTCCATTTTCGTCTTTGCCGTCTTTTGTTTCCGTTCAAAAGTCGTTATGATTGACTTGAAGACAACGGCCCCGAGTGGGGAAGCAGACGATCACAGTCTGCTCCCAGGTAGTTGAGAGATTCTTTGATGGCGACTTTAAAAAGCAACCACCACCATTTTTCCCCATTTCCTTCTCGCGTTCCTCTTGAAATAGAAAAATGGATTCTTGGGTGCGGTTCACTGCCACTGGCTATAGACGATGATTTATCGAGCAAGGGTGAATATTTTCTCGACCTTACAACGTGTTATGTGCTTGCGTATATATATATATATATATATATATATATATATATATATATATATATATATATATATATATATATATATATATATATATATATATATATATATATATATAATAAATAGAAAAAGAGAAATATAACGATAACAGTGTTGAACATTTCTCAGCCTGACACACTTCCCAAAATCTGCCTAAATAATAAAGCATCAAACTTTTTGGGAAGGGCTTTTTGTGCAGACATGCATATTTGACACTCCTCTTAGATAGATAGATAGATAGATAGATAGATAGATATCAAGAGGCAGAAAGAGATAGATAGATAGATAGATAGATAGATAGATAGATAGATAGATAGATAGATATCAACAGACAGAAAGAGATAGACATATATCAACAGACAGAAAGAGATAGATAGATAGATAGATAGATAGATAGATAGATAGATGTGAACAATAGATAGATAGATAGATAGATAGATAGATAGATAGATATTTGTGCAGAAGCCCATTTTTAATACATCATTTGTGGTCTTTGTGTCATATATTTATAAATTTTTGATAAAATGCTGCAATGAATTTTATTGGTCCTGATCTGGAATCTTAGTGACTTTATTGCCTTGCTCGCGGGTGAAATGAGTCAAAAATATTGTTAAACAAAACTGATAAAGTGTCTGTGTTCATTTTTTATCATATTTTTACTGCATGCTAACAAGTATTTACTTTTCTAGATTTAATGATGATAGAAATTGTTCAAATATTTGTTGATTCCGAGTGTTTTCGGCTTATCTATTAATCATTTTCAGCGATATTTTCTACTAATGGTCTGTCAGCGATATTTTAGGCATTCTAATATTTGCTGAAATAGACTTTAGGGATATGACTTTTTGTAAAATAATTTATTCCCTGTATAATAATTCCATGAACTTTTGTTAAAAATAATGAATAACTGTTTAATTTTTATTTTTTTTTAAATGTTATCCCCAACGCAAAAGTTATAAAATCCTATATAATTTTAGTGGTACTATGACTTTCTGAGTCAGTTAAAACATTATGGAACCTGCTAGAACTTTCTGGGGCCTTCTAGAAATATATGGAGCCTTGTAGAACTTTTTTTACCTTATAGTTAAGTTTATATGTTATGCTATAGCTATAAACACTTACATGCGGCAGACGTAAACAAGTTGTATCCAATTACGCCATTACCAAATTGAAAAATAAAGCTTCTGAAATATGTTGATGTTTTTACTCTTATTGCATTTATTGTAAAATCGAAGCTTCGATGTGGGGGAACCTTTTTTAAGAACTAAAACAAATTTTGAACAAAAATTTATCGATTTATACCACAGGAATATAGGGTTACTGTTAAGGTCCAGGTTAGGACCAAGGAAGAACAACACGAACACAAGAGTAGAAATAACGAAGGTATATTATACGAAATAATAATACAAGATGTAGGAGGTGTTAGTATGACTGTCAGTCTGGTTTGGAGTGAACTGCTATCGGCTCGGCTTGATTCGGTATCTAGCCACCCTCCTACGAGGGTTGCATATGGCACAAGGCCGAGTTTAACGTGGGTTTCACGAGCCCGTAGGCTCGGTCAAAAAATGCCCGTAGAACCCGTATGAACAGGATCGGGTTGGTAAACCTCCCCGAACGAGACTCTGCCCTTCGGCGGAGCCTCGTCCGGGTTCCTCTCTGCTCAGAGGCAGAGAGTTCGACCGTCAAGCGAGAAGCTCGGCTTGATTCGTCCCTCTCTCTTGAGAGGCGTAGTATACTTAGTGTTAAGAAGAGTTCATTCTATAAGTATAGGTAAGGACCTATGACAGTTACCAAAAATTTATAATCCTAGTAGACATATCATTAATTTCCAAATGCTGGCCGTGTTCATAACTTGGAGAGAAAATAAGGACATAATCAAAATTTCCATATTCCAATGTACTTCGAATAAAATGTTAGAAAGGAAAGCGCCATCAGTACTGGAAAGAGCAATAACAGCTAGTGGATTTAAAAAACCCATTTTTCAGAAAATTCTTTTTAAGGGAAATATTTTATAAATTTTAACCGAAAGTGCTGGCTGCTCGGTCAATGAATACTAAATGTTTCTTTATAGGGAAACAGCTAATACTACGATTAACATTACCAATAACTTAAACAATTCTTGTTCAAATGATCTCAAATTTTAACAGCATGCGTAGAAAAAACTCAAAATTCTATGTTTCATGTTTTATGTTTCTTTTCTGCTATAGAAATGTTATTCATTGAAAAAAAAAAAGAATTTGCTCAAATTCATTCGAAAAGACTGTACGGAAAGAACAGCAAATCAGATTTTGACATACTACAAAAAGTTCAAAGAGAAAAGACTGTTTATGCTGGACTATTGACTTAACGTGTGTCGCTTGCAGGTGTTGAACATATTGAAAACTTTGAAATCGTTCAAAAAATCACATAACTATGAAAATTTAATTCAAATTTTGATGAATAAATCTTATATATATATATATATATATATATATATATATATATATATATATATATATGTATATAAATTTAGTGTAATTATTATTACTTTAAAATTTTTTTCATTTCTAAAAGTTTTTCAATATTATATTATATATTGTTTTATAATTTTATTTTAAATTTAAATTTTTTTTTAAATTTTGTTTTCATTTCGATATGTTTTTCGATATTACATTATATGTTTTTTGGACACTATTTAAAAGGTTTTTAGATTGTTTTAAATGTAAATTTTAAATTATGAATTTAAGATTTAAAATTTAAAATTTTAATTTTAGATTTTAATTTTTAATTTTCTACTCCTTAGTTGTTATTAATAATATTAATATTTTTTGTTTATCTTATATTCACATTATATTATTTTTTTACTTTTATCCTATTTTATTTTGTTGATATTTTTTTAAAGTAATGTCAAACGTTAACAGCAAAATATATCAATCTGTGTTTTAACTGCAATATGCCTATATATTATAATTTATTCTTCCTTTTCTTCTTTCCCCATTTTTTCCTCTCACCCCTGCTTCCACGTTTGTTTTCTTTTCTTCATTTTTCTCTTTGTCTCTTTTCTTGTGAGATGACTTATTAAATAGGTCAATAATGTCTGGTCTTTCTTTACCCTCCCCCCTTTCTCTTAAGTATTTTAATAAAAATGGATTTAAAATTATTCCTGTCTCTCCCTTCCTTCTCTAATTTTGTCCATATCTTTCGTCGTCCTCCTGCCACTCTCTCTATCACCTTGCATCAACTTAAAACTACCACTCAAAAGTGTATAAAAATAATAGGTAAATTTAGAAACTTTTTTATGCTTGGATATATGATCTGATAAACCCGGAAAAAACTAGGGAAATAAAATATAATCAATGGACCCTTGAATAAAATTATTAATCGCTCTGGTTTGACATTGAGCTCTCTGGATTACATCCTCCTTCAGATTATCCATACGGATTTCCAAACTTTCCATTACCTAACTATATATATATATATATATATATATATATATATATATATATATATAGTTATAGTTATTTGTTTAAAAAACCTTAGGCATTTTGGCTTTGCAATTGAACAAACCAATGCTCGATGGAAAATAAGGGATAAAAAAGAAAGAACTAAGACCAAGAAATTGAAGTGAAAACAAGCGTCCATTCAAGCTCAGAGTCCAAAGAAAAAAAAATCCTAAATATAACTACGTAAAGTGCTCAATACGCTAAGTAGAGCAAACCAAATATGAACCTAAAGAGCCAGGTTGATCCTGACGATCCGTATAGGTTCATATATATATATATATATATATATATATATATATAAAGAGACACGAGGAAAAACTATTCTTAGCTGACAGCTTTCCTCCTCTGAGGGAGTTTATCAAGGCAATGTAGAATTTATTTTGTTGCACGGGTTTATAAACAAAAGCGATGATGTCAGGGGTCTATCAAAGTTTTTAAATTTGAGAACGTTCTGGTAGTTAAAACATCAGTCAAAACATGTGGAGGACAAGAATTATTACTTTCCCAAGCCAAATATGTTGAAAAATTAAAAGAAAACAGTTAAAACCATCTGATGTACAGCACATAGATATATCTCATCCAACAATTTAAACAATATTCATTTGAAAAAAAGAATTACTCGCTTAGTTTTTGCCCCACATTGAATTATGACCCTTTATGTCCTCCACAAGTTTGACTGATCTTTCAACCACCTGATCAACAATCATGAACATTCTTAAAGTCCAAGGGTTGACAGCAAATAGGAACGTTTATATCCGTTCTTCTTTGTCTAAACTTTAACAGGACTGAAAATTGTTCTTGAAGTCTGTACCTTAAGAGTGTCAAAGAATAGTGAACTTCAAAAGATACGGCTAGAACTGATGAAAGTAATGTATCTTACGTAGTGTTAAATAATAGTCTAGCAGACTTATTTATTAAAGAATTGTATTTTCTTCTGACTTCCTCATTTTGACCTTTGAGGTCGGATGGTAGACAAAACAAAGGAAGTGCTTTTTTGTATTGGTTAAAACTAGCGTGGGAAGGTTAGAGAAATAGAAAGTTATTTCAATGAGGATGTTTTTACATGACGAAGAGATCAGACGTGGTTATCTCGTGTCTTATGGAACTTGTTCCCCAGTTGGGGTGAGAGAGCGACCCCACTGGCTAGTTAAAAATGTAGACGTCGAAGTGTTTAATAAAGTAGTAAGTCAAAATCCCTTTTGTTGCATTGCTCATTTTACCTCTGAACAAACCAACTAACGATCACCCGACCAGGAAAAGAGAGAAAGAAGAAAGCAACCTATGAGTGAACCAAGACTGTCGCCTCAAGACTACCCCGAGCGCGATGGGGCAATATAACATTCCGAATCTAAAAACATTTTGACACTCAACCAGAATAAAACGGCCGACGGAGAAGAAGCAGTTTCGTTATGGAATCGACACTGTCAGCCAAAAGTCCGCTCCAGAAGGGAGGGAAAATGAAAAGATAGATTCGGTTTGTCCCAAAGCATATGGGAAAACAAAATACTGTACAAAACCAAATCCATGTTATGGATACGGCGAACTACATTTCAAGAGGAACTGCTCTTTTAAGAACAAAAATGTTTCGACTGTGGAAGTATGAAACACGATATTTCGCATTGTAAAGTTAAAAATAGTATAAAAATTCAACACTACTCTAAACGGAGCGTCGATGAGAGAAAACGCAGACAAGGATCAAAAAAAGAAAATGTATAACATTTATAATTATAAAGAAATTTCGGGTAAAAATTATATTAATATATATACATATATAGATAGATAGATAGATATTGATATATATATTTTCAATCTACTAATATATATACATATATAAATGTTCACGCATATATATATATATTATTCATATAGTATATATGCGCGGTACTATTGAAAGCTCCCAATATCAGTGGTATATATATATATATATATATATATATATATATATATATATATACCTTTTACCCGACATTATTTCTGTCTATATATATATATATATATATATATATGGACAAAGTCTGACAATTTTAAGACATTTTTTATGTTTATACGTTCTTTTTATAGATTCAAATATTTAAGTGAATGCTCTGTTTATAATAAACAGTATTAACAACATTTACCGGCTTGAATGTCCGACATATTTTCCTAGGAAATATGCGTCCTCCGACAGGAGCCGAGTCTGTATCCTATTCGGAGCCGTCATATAGCCTTACGTGCGTTAAAAACAGTAAAATAGACCTTGCTAACAGAATATTCCTCTGTGGCTCAATCGGTTAAGGCACGTCAGGCTGTATGACGGTTCCGTATAGGATACAGGTAGATCTGTGGAAGTGTTGGACACAAGCATTCGCATTGTAAAGTTAAAAAAAATATTATAAAAATTCAAGAGTACTATAACTGGAGCATCGATGATAGAAAACGGAGACAAGGATAAAAAAAGAAAATTTATAACCGTAAAAATCAATAGAAGAAATATAAAATTTACGCACGACCCAGGATCAGATTTGATTATTAGAAACAAAGAAACGTGGCAAAGAATCCATAAATCAATATTAACGAATGTTAATATTGGATTATGGACTCTTTAAAATGACTTGGCAGAAATTTAAATTTAAACGTGAGTTCACATCAAATGTATCACTTTATGGAAAAACTGTGAAGGCTAAAGTATTTGTGATAGAAAGAACTTATAACTTGTTCGGAACAGATTGGATGCAACTATTCAATTTGTTGGATTTATCTATAAAATATTTTTTATAATAAACTGGGTAGTTCTTCTAGTAACTCTGAAAGGCTAAAAAAAAAATATTGAAAAATCAATTTCCGGAATTTTTTTTTATTTTTTATTTTTTCTGAAGGGTTAGAAAGATGCACAAAAAGTAACACCAGTTAATAGAAAATGTGGTACCAATTTTTAGACTAAAGAAATAGATCGCTTAGAAAATATGGAAATGATCTCCAAAGTGGATTATATTGATTAAGGTTGCCCGATGGTCTACGTAAAAAAATGAAAAATAACAGAATCCGTGTATGTGCCGATTTCTCCATGTGGCTGAATGATTACCAACAAGTTTACAATCAGTCCCTGTCAAACCCAGAAGAAATTTAAGTTAAGTTAAATAGCAGAAAGTACTTTTCAACGTTTGACTTGTCATACACATATTTATATAACCAGGTTGAGGAAAACTGTTAATAATCAATGCGAACAAGGGATTTTTCATGTTTAACAGACTACCTTTCGGAATTAAAAAGTATCACTTGGAATTTTTCAGCAAGTAATGGACACAATGTTGAGCGATCTAAACTTGACGATCGCCCAGTTGGTGACATTAATAAAAAGTGAAAATCAAGGACACATATTCAGAACGTAAATGAGGTATTCAGAAAAATGAACAAACACAAGCTAAAATTGTGTGAAGAGAAATGCGAATTTTTCCTGGTCGAAATTAAATATTTGGGCCAAATCATCAACGAAAACAGTAGGAAACAAGACCCAACCACGGCAAGTACGATTAAAAATATGTCCTCTCCCAAAAGTATGTCATATTTATAAGAATTTTTAGGTTTCTCAATTATGTTTTTTTTTTATTCCAAACTTGCATTTTTTGCAAGCACCATTAAATACTTTACTAAAACAAGACTCGAAATGGAAATTGAATGGCCGAATGGCAAAAAGAATTCGAAAAAATTAAAAAGATTCTAACACTGGACTTGTTTCTCTCGCATTTTGATCTAAAGTTAGAAATAATCATGGCGACCTATGTTATCGTTGCCGTAATTTTGCATAAGCATAAAGATGGTTCTGTGAAGGAGATTGTCCATGCATCAAGAACACTTTTATCGGTTGAGAAGAATTATAGTCAGACTGAGAAAAAAGGCGTTGGAAATAATTTTTGCTGTAAAAAAATTACATAAATTCATCCACGTTAGAAGGTTCAAACTACAGATGTACCACCGTCCATTATTATCTATTTTCGGGTAGAAAAACGGTATCCGGACAGATAGAGAATCGATCTTAGCGATTCTGTTGAATTACAATTTTAAATTATAATTTTGCTATCAAAAAATCTAAGTCTTGTAGAAGGTTTGTCAAAAATTATGTGAACATTTAGACGATACAGTAATTGCAGCTCTAAGAACTGAGAATGAATTTAATTTATTCTCTGCAATACAGTACGTGATCTACAAGTGACCCTGAATGAAATTCGAATAAAAGCACAGGTGGATGCTTTTATTAGAGAAAAAAAGAAAACTAAGGTGGAAATTAAAGTAGAAAAAAATCAAATCGAAAATTCAAGGTGGGAATATTTTCGAAATCTGCAATGAGATCTTACCGTACGGTTAACGAGTGAATATGCTTGCACCCAGTCAGAAAATGATGTTTAATAAATTTCATTCAGGTATGTTCTACCAATATTGAGAAAGACATAGAGCGATTGGTAAAAGCCTACAGAGTTTGTTTCTTTCAACAAAATCGGCACCAGGTAAATTCCAACGCTGTAGAAAGACAGACACGCCGTGTTCGAGATTGCACACCGAGTTCGTCAAAGACAGACAAGCCGTGGTCTAGATTGCGCATAGATTTCGCAAGAGACAGACACGCCGTGGTCCAGATTGCACATAGATATCGCAAAAGACAGACACGCCGTGGTCTAGATTACACATTCATTACGCCGAAGACAGACACATCGTGTCATAGATAGCACACTGATTTCGCCAAAGACAGAGAGGTAATGGTCGAGATTGCACATTGATTTCGTCAAAGACAGACACGCCGCGATCGAGATTGCACATTGATTTCGTCAAAGACAGACACGCCACGATCGAGATTGCACATTGATTTCGTCAAAGACAGACAAACCGTGGTCGAGATTGCACACAGATTTCGCCAAAGAAAGATACACCGTGTCATAGATAGCTCTCTGATTTCGCCAAAGACAGAGAGGCAGTGGTCGAGATTGAACATCGATTTCGCCAACAACAGAAACGCCGTCGTCGACATTGCACATTGATTTCGCCAAAGACAGACACACCGTGTCGTAGGTTGCACATTGATTTCGTCAAAGACAGAGAGTCAGCGGTCGAGATTGCACATTGATTTGGACAGAGACAGACACGCCGTGGTAGACATTGCACATTGAGTTCGCCGAAGGCAGAGAGGCATTGGTCGAGATTGCACATTAATTTCGCCGAAGACAGAGGCGGTGGTCGTAATTGCAAATTCATTTCGCCAAAGACAGACCTGCCTTGACGAGAGTGTACATTAATTTCGCCAAAGATAGACACGCTTTGGTCGAGATTGCACATTGATTTCAGAAAAGACAGAGAGTCAGCGGTCGAGATTGCACATTGATTTCGCCAAAGACAAACACGACGTGGTCGAGATTGCACATTGATTTCGCCAAAGACAGAGAGGCACTGGTCCTGATTGCACATTAATTTCGCCAAAGACAGAGAGGCACTGGTCGTGATTGCACATTAATTTCGCCAAAGAGAGAGGGTCAGTGGTCGAGATTGCACATTGATTTCACCAAAGACAGGCCCGCCGTGGACGAAATTGCACATTGATTTCATTAAAGACAGAGAGGCATTGTTTGTGATTTCACATTGATTTTGCCAGGACAAACACGCCGTGGTCGAGACTGCACATTGATTTCGCCAAAGACAGAAAAGCCGTGGTTGAGATCGCACATTGATTTCGTCACAAACAGAGAGGCATTGGTCGAGATTGCACATTGATTTCGCCAAAGACAGACCAGCCGTGGACGAAATTGCACATCGATTTCGCCAAAGACAGACATGCAGTGGTCGAGATTGCACATTGATTTCACCAATGACAGAGAGGCAGTGGTCGACATTGCACATTGATTTAGCCAAAGACAGACAAGCCGTGGTTGAGATTGCACATTGATTTCGCCAAAGACAGAGAGGCAGTGGTCGTGATTGCACATTGATTTCGCCAATGACAGAGGGACATTGGTCAAGATTGCACATTGATTTCACCAAAGACAGACAGGCATTGGTCGAGATCGCACAGTGATTTTGCCAAGGACAGACACGCAGCGGTCGAGATTGCACATTGATTTCACCAAAGACAGACACGCCGTGGACGAGATTGCACAATAGATTTTGCCAAAGACAGACAGGCATTGGTCGAGATCGCACATTGATTTCGCCAACGACAGACACGCCTTGGTAGAGATTGCACATTGATTTCGCCAATGACAGACCTACCGTAAACGAGATTGCACATTGATTTCGCCACAGACCGACACGCCGTGGACAAGATTGCACACTGAAAGAAAGTCCGGTGTCGACATTGCACATTGATTTCGTCAATGACAGAGAGGGAGTGGTCGATATTGCACATTAATTTCGCCAAAGACAGACCTGCCGTGGACGAGACTGTACATTGATTTCAGCAAAGACAGACACGCTTTGGTCGAGATTGCACATTGATTTCAGCAAAGACAGAGAGGCAGTGGTCGTTATTGCACATTGATTTCGCCAAAGACAAACACGACGTGGTCGAGATTGCACATTGATTTCGCCAAAGACAGAGAGGCACTTGTCGTGATTGCACATTGATTTCGCCAAAGACAGAGAGGCATTGGTCGAGATTGCACATTGATTTCGCCAAAGACAAACCCGCCGTGGAAGAAATTGCACATTGATTTCGCCAAAGACAAACACGCAGTGGTCGAGATTGCAAATTGATTTCACCAATAGCAGAGAGTCAGTGGTCGAGATTGCACACTGATTTCGCCAAAGACAGAGAGGCAATGGCCGTGATTGCCCATTGATTTCGCCAATGACAGAGGGACATTGGTCAAGATTGCACATTGATTTCACCAAAGACAGACAGGCATTGGTCGAGATTGCACAGTGATTTTGCCAAGGACAGACACACAGCGGTCGAGATGGCACATTGATTTCACCAAAGACAGACACGCCGTGGACGAGATTGCATAATAGATTTCGCCAAAGACAGACAGGCATTGGTCAAGATTGCACATTGATTTCGCCATAGACAAACACGCAGCGGTCGAGATTGCACATTGATTTCGCCAAAGACAGACACGCCGTGGTCAGGACTGCACATCGATTTCAATAAATATAGGGAGGCACTGGTCGAGATTGCACATTGATTTCGCCAATGACAGACACGCCGTTGTCGAGATTTCACATTGATTTCGCCAAAGATAGACACATCTTCGTCTAGATTGCGCATTGATTTCGCCAATTTGAGGATTTTTTTGTTTATCAATCAATGTGGCATGAACTAAATTGTTCACTGAATAGAGTAATGTCTCTGCTGTTATCCCGAAGATTTGCACTGCGGATCTATTCTTTTAAATCAAATATGTGGAGCAGTTTCGCTAAAGCCTGACACAGTTGTCGAGATTGCACAGTCTTTTCGCAAGACCGATAATTGTTGTCTGCTACCTAAACGTTATCCACATTTTTTTTTCCAAATCGCCACAAATTTTAAAATATAAGAGTCCATCTTCTACAATTGCAATACATTTCTTGCATTGATTATTTGCTCGATACGGTATTCTGGATATTGTTTCGGAAATTGCTACTCAAGTCACTGTTAAAGACTTTGAATGTTTTTGCAAATCCTTTGCGATACAAGATATCAAATCTCTCCCTACAACCCAAGACCGAATTGGTAAGCAGAACGCTTCCTCGATACATTCACAAGGGCAATATATAAACTAATTATTACAGCTGTTTTACTTGTATATCGAGTGGCACTTAATCCTAATGCTATATCAGGTATGTACCCGGTAGAACAAATGTTAACAAGGAAACGGAGATCGGTATTTGACAAACTGCTGCTGAATAAAAAAAATGTCGAAATCAGGAAAAAATCCGATTCCTAGAAATACTTGAAACCCGGCGAAAAATATTCTTTCGAACTTACAAAAATGGAAAGGAATTATGGAAAGATGTGGTAGTCGAAAACCGTATCGGAAAATTATTGTACATTATAAAAACGTTTACATGGGTTCATAAAAGACATCTAAACCAAACCAAAAAAGGCTACTCAGACGAACAGAGCATCCGAGAGGAGGAGACGGTGGTGGTTCTATATGACGTTTTCGATGTTCCTATGTCTGAGACATCTCTGGAAATCATACGCTCCAGTAAAAGAAACAGACATCCTTCAAAATTGTTGCATCTTACCCCCGCCCAAATGTATAACTTTCAAAGGAAGTAAATCTCAAAGAGGTGATGTAATAAGATCCATTCATGCTAAGTAGTCCTGGGTAATTGTCTAGAAAGGAAAGAAGTTAATACTATTTCAGTGACTTGTGTAGCTGAGTAGTGAATACTACTATCACGAGTGACTCGGTCTAGTTAAGTGCTGTATTTTGCCAGACCCCACATCACAACACGATGGGATACAGTGCATTACATTTTGTCTGGTTTGGCTACAGGTGTTGCCGAAATGTTGCCAATGTTGACAGTCAACCGCCTTCTGGACTGCATTCCAAATTTTCTGTCTGGATTTACTTCCATAGCCATTCCCCTGTTGACATATAGCCACAATAATGCCAGGTCAGGACAGATTACATTACAGAAGCTTCTTTGAATTTTATTAAGAACTACGAGATTTCGCAGGAACATCAGACTAGATATGGCGGCAGTATTCAGTGTATAGACGAACAGTAGATTTGTAAATGTGCAAGTGGGATTCTAAAGAGAAAACTTGAGATAGTGAACCAACTATACTAGCAGCAGACCTAGCAATGGATTCAACATAATCTTTTCACTTCATGTCAGTGGAAAACGTGAGTCCAAGAAAGCACAAATACTTGCTCTCGTAGAGTTTAGCATCAACCATGCGGAGGAATTAATCGTATGCATAGACATGTTTTCAGTGAATTAAGACAATGAGAAATATTTGCTTTTGTTTGAGATGTCCCTTGTCAAACAATCTTTTACATTCATCATACAAATGAAAAATATAGGTGTGTGTCACTCGTGATACAAGCCTTAATTGGAAACTTGCGTCATGTTGAAAAAGCATTGATACATTCAGGGAATGTGTCTATATTTCTGAGATGAGGTACTATGTACAGTATTTACATTAATCGGACTATTGTCCTTATCTTTGTTGACATATTTATCACAACGTTTCAGCCATTGTACGCTCCGGCCTTGTTCAGGTGGTTGGAATGTCGAACTGAACTCTTTATTTCGCTCACTGAGTTAGACTGTTCTAGTTCCACGTGACATGGAGAGGTGAATTAACAGGAGATAACTGATAACTGATAACTGACAGCCATTAGACATGGCACGTGGAACTAGTATTCAGTATTTCATAGAATATAAAAACACCCTTTCCTTGTTTCCATTTAATATCGCGGTAATATTGTGCAAAGTTAGAAACAGATATTTAGATTCCACGATGTGTGTATAAATATTAAGCCAACAAATGCCTCAATTTTCCATATAAATTCAGATGATATTTAAACTATTTTACACAAAGAGGTAAAATTGTGGAATGGTGTGATAATAAATGATGGCTATACTTGGAAATGGGATAACAGTTACCACACTCACAAATACCCCTATATATATATATATATATATGTGTGTGTGTGTGTGTGTGTGTGTGTGTGTGTGTGTGTGTTTAGAGGGCAAATTCTCTTTTAGGCATGTCTGATTAAATAAATTATATCTTAAGTCTGCTTATTTTTAATAAAATCCGTTCCTACTCCTGAATAACCTTCCGTGTATTACAATTAAATGATGTGAGTAATGTGCTCTCCCTTTCCCAAGTACTTTCCATATTCTTCCATAGTGGATAATTCTTTCACGTTGTAATGAACGCTAAGGATCTCGGTCAACCGTTGCATTTAAAATCGAACAGAAAAATCACAGTAATAGATAGCAACACACAGTTTTGTATAACTATTTGCATCCCTGAATAACACACAGTTTTGTATTGGTACTTGCACCCCTGAAGATGATCTCGGAAGAAGATCGAAAGTACTTGAGAAATGGGAAATAAAAACGATTTTCATAGTTATTCCACCAGGTAGCAGCTCTTGAGAGAAAGCTGTCTGGGTGGAAAACTGCCGGATGTAGTTTATCGTCATGCCCAGGACTACGAAGAGAGACAACGACGATGCGGAAGAGATTGGTTAATTTTTTTAGCGACATATCAACATGTCTATGTTATATAGTTTCAACTAAATATATTTTGATTCCACAAGGTTTCAGCTGCTGAGAAAAAAAAGCAGTCTAGGTGGAAATTCCTCCTTCCTATTGGAATGCTTAGGAAATATAGGTGAAGTCCGTGTATTTAGCTTGTCGATTCGTAGCTATAAATGTGTAATGGAGGGTAAATAATCTATGATTCAGAAATATGATAGACTCTACTTAATCAGTAAATGGTGTATTCATTCCTGACAAGATGTTAGTGAATTTCAATAACTCTATCTATAAAAGACATGATATGTGTGTGTGTGTGTGTGTGTGTGAGTGTGTGTGAGAGAGAGTGTGTGTGTAACAAATGCACGGCCGGAATTCTCGACGGATTTGCACCAAAATTTACATGCACATGCTCCAAGTTAGCAGGAAGGCCAAGACCGACTTTGCATTTCACAACTTACATCGATAATGGAAATAATCAATTTTTTTCATGCTTCTACGGCAGTTTTCATGTAGTTTGCGGCCATTTTGTACTGGTCAGAGTGAGAGCCTATACTTGGCTGCCACGAATAGTCAGGAAGATTCTATTGGCCAGTGTGACTGACACGAATGTTAACTAGCATGCAAAACAAAATCGATAGCTGCATTCATGGGAAAAATTTAAATCTGCATAGCACTTTACTCCAATTGGCTCATTCGCTTGCTTAAACTCAACATTGATTCTGATTCCTCAGAACTGTGTTGGGTGTGAAAAAGTATTTGTTTTTAACATTCTTTTTTCATTCGGTTTTTCCAGTTACGTGTCCTTTTTTAAAACTGATCGTTTTGTGTTCATTTTGTTTAGTTCTTTTTTCGTAACAGATTTAATGTTTAATATAGAGCTTAGAAAAAATTTGCAGTGTGAGATAGGCAAGAAGTAAGGCATGTAGCAACATCAGCATGGCGAAGGGCACTCCTTTAAAGGCAAAGAAGGGCAAAAATATTTTAAGTCAAGTGATAGCGATTGCTGTATGAGTAGTACGATTTTTGAATCAAGCACGGGCAACGCCGGGTCATGCTGCTAGTGATTTATAATATCTTTTCTACTAAATGTTGATATAAAAAAGGTTTTGGAAATTCCAAAGAATTGGCAGTCATTAGGAAATTGGCCAGTACTTACTGAATAAATAGAGTTTATTATATGCATGACAATTTTATTGGAAACGCAATCTGTCTTTAGTAGGAATTCTCAATCTAATACGACATGAATCCCGTAGCCATTAGTGTCGTAGTGGCCATCATAACTACCACATCCATACCAGCTACATAGACAGCCTGACGGAGCTCAAACTTTTCCAGGCTGGTTTGAGTTTACTTTCTCCTAAATTAGTTGACAACCAAGGCTATAAGGGGCAACCTCTCCTGCTATTTACCAATGAGTGGGGGGGGGAATATATTCATACCTTTCTTAGGGATATTAGCATTTAAGTGAATTTAATGTACCCGACTAGAATTTGAACTCGGCACTCCACTTCCTCAATATATATATATATATATATATATATATATATATATATGAAAAATATGACAGACAGGGAAAAGTTTTCGTGAGAAGGTTTCGTCCTTTAAGACTTAAATGGACAAAAAGTGTTAGGTTGTTGTTAATTTAATAAAATAAAAACAAACAAAAAATA